AATACGAGTATATATATATATATATATATATATACTGGGAAAATAGTGCATAAGACCAGATTTAACCGAGTTAATACTTTTTGATATTTCTTTCATCATACAGAAACTTCATTAAAAAAATATATCTGACAATAATAGTAGTAAATGTGGTACTTCTAAATCATTCATTCACTCTTTGCTTTCCATTTTCTGTTTAGAATAGTAACAATTGTAAAGGAATAACTGACGTAGTATCGTGTTTTGGATTAAGCGGTAGACAGCACCAAAAGAAGCGCAATTTGGTGAACTTGACAATACCCCATGTCAATGCAATCAATTTAATCCAAGATACAAGATATGCTGGACTTGCTATAGACATCCGTGGCTCATGTATGAACAGCACATTTAGTAGAATTGGTAGTGGTACCTAGAAATGACAGAATACGTATTCATTTATATACATATATAATAGTTCTATATTTGATTCTGTTTGTCTTCATCCGTTACAATTCCATTTCCTTTTGACCTGAAGTGGTCAGAGACGTACACTGTTGTTAATAACCCGAACATTTTGTCAGTTTGTTATTTCATAAAATTTTTCTAAATATTTTAGTCTTTAAACTCTGGAGTCAGAGATTTTTTACAGAGATCAAAAATTTTCTAAAAAGTCAGAAACAATAATTCTAAAAATACTCATTTAAAATCATTGTTTTTAAAAAATAAATCGGTGTTAAGCAACAATTTTGTACAGTAAATTTGGAATAGTAATGAAAACTTCACATATCTTCACAAACCTTTAGATTCTTTATGTGGAATCGCCGCTCAGTACCGTTTTTTCTGTTTAGAAACGATAAGATGAAATAACTTCTTTTCAGAATTATGCGAATTTACATTAAGGGATTCTTAGTATAAGCTTATGTAGTGATAAGCATAACATATAACAATCCTACAAAACAAATATTACAAAAGCGCTTACTTCTTCAGCAGCAAGTACTAGTGATTTAGCTAATCGAGCATTGAAAACATTTTCGAAATCATTCTTCAATGTCAAGCACACATCGGTCATTTCAAAAACGTAAACAATCATTGAAACGCCGGTGAAAAAGAAATAACCATAAGCAGCCAGAAAAGCTATATCACTTTGAAAATTCGGCAAAAATTCCGCTATCCTGTAAAAATTTTTGCACATTTGCAGACATTTAAAGCTTTAAACAAAATATCTTTTATAAGCTATACGTTTAGTAATTCAGCCGTACCGTAATTCAGGCCAACTTAGGAGTCAAGATTGATGAACAAGGCAAGGTATTTGGATCAGAATAAGCTTCCGCCTTACTTTACTGTCCCCTGTCTCCTTTTTTGGTATGAGAAAAGAATTGGAAAAGAGATATGATGATATTTTTTACAGGATTTCTCATTCTTTTTTCATCCTTTTTCCCTCTCACACCATATTCACAATCAGTAAACGATTTATCGCTCAATTATCATTCTGTCCATTCTTTTTGTTTTTTTTTCTGTTTGGTCAGAAAGTAATCTACAGTCCATTAATAACTACAAACTTGCTGCAAAGTAGAAAATCGGCTATAAGATCGAGTGTCGAAGCAAAAAGCGTCACAACGGCTACAACTCGCAGAGGTGGCGCCCATTCCAGAGTGTCTCTGCAAAAAGGTAAGCAGTAATTCCTAAAGTTATTAGCAATTCTAAAATTATTCCAATCCTTTTTTTTATAAGCTGATGAAAAAGATATTTGAATAGGAATAGTAATATTTTAATGGTGAGGAAATTACAATAGTAGTAAGTTTGCCATACCGAAATTGATTTAGACTTTAGTTAAAAAGATATTTAATATTTAAAAGATGGGATTATTTTTCTAGCAAAATGACTGCTCTCATTAATGCTTTGTATTGCTTTCTTCACAACGATTTGGTGATAAGCAGAAGGAAAGAAAAGTTATAGGATTACTTCGGACCACCACTTCTTGACCATGCAAATCGATAACCCATCCCGGAAAGCACCTGAAATTAAAATCAGATTTTCACAGGACGCTAGTGGGAATTTGCTAAAAAATTCAATTCAAATTTCTCGCTAATTTGGATGAATCAATAAATTTGTAGTAAAGGGTGGAGATGGATAAATGACAAAAAGCTGTGCAAATTATTTGCTTATACTTTTAAATAGTTTAAAGTCAACTATCACGGTCTAAAAGTAATAGACAAAGAATGAATTCAAATTAAATGATGGTAATTCTTTTTCAACACTCACACTGCTAAAATTAAAATTGAGAGGTGTATTGCAACTGAAAAAGTTTGTCAGAATTTGACAATGATCGAAAGGGAAAGCAAGACTAGATGAAAAAAAAAATTTTTTTTCTTGGGAGAAAGAAAGGATAAGATCGGAAATAGGACAGCTGCTACGAGGATTTTTTAAAATATTTTTTTATCGTAGGATGGTAGAATTTCGATGACAGCTCTACATTTTATAACATTTCTTCGTTTCATTTCATTTTTCAAGAAAATTAGACAGAAAACTATTTAATTTCCTAGAAGTATCTTGTAGAACTTACTATTTCATATTTTGATATACTGATTGATTTGGCATGGGACAGAATGAACAACTTATAAATTAAACTGGAAATTACCACCACAGCAATGGGTGGCCAATTTTGAAGCCTTCTTGACCTAACATTGACAGCATCTCGGAAATCAGCAATAAGATTTAACTCAGTAAATGGAGATTTAAACAAAGGATGTGACAGTATTTATTGATACTCAATCGTCTTTTGATACAAAAACGGATATTATTTAGTATGTTTTTTATAAAATCTTTCTTATACCTTAAACAGATGTAGAAATTAGAGCAACTAAACTGATAAAAATTGAATAAAAATCAAAGCATAATTTCATTTTTCACTAAAAATTTGATTTTGAATCGATAGATTTCGTTCTTACATCCAATCAATAATATTTATTTTTAGCTGCTAATGCTTTAGTTTCGCTCGAAATAGTAATCAAATTCATATTGATTTTTAATGACATTAAACAGGGCGAAACATCATTAGACGAAATTCATGCAAAAATTTCTTTTAAAAAATTCATATATTATTGATATTGTTAAGACATTCAAAAAAGTAATAATTAACTCTGCTGCTTCAAGATATTTTTGGAAGAAACCGACCATCCAAGCATGCATCTGTGCAAACGGACAAGCGGAAATCTTAATGTGAGAAACTTTTTTTAATAAGTATGAAGAAAAATGAAATTACTATGATTCAAATGTCGTATATCATATGGAGACGAAAAAAGATATGCTGAATCACTGCTGAATCTTCATTTATCAGATAATAAATCATTTACTCATCTAAATGAACACCTGCACTTCAAAGCAAGCATTTTATCAAGTCGAAAAAGTTGATCAAGGAATATGTTACTTCCAATATTATGTCTATAATGAATCATTAGTTAAACATAGCGACAAGACGAAATAGATATGTTATGCTATTTTGAGTATGACCCCTAGATTCAGGTTTCAATCTAATCTGAAGAAAGAAGTGATCCATAGTAATTCATTATCAATACTTCAAATTGATCTAGCATGGCTTTACAGGGAGTGTTAAAAGTATCTTATCAGATATCTTATCACCAGTACTACTTCTTGTATTCACGGTCTACGAAATATATTGGACTGCATCTCTAATTTACTTCTCCTTATTTCTATGAGCTATCTTAAATAAGGTACAACAACGTGAATCTATTAAAGGACCATTTAATAAAAATCATACAAATAAAAACATATTTTCACATGCCGAAATGAACAAATTGAAATAATAAGTAATCAGATTTCCGCTATTGCTAATATAAAATTTTAAGTAAATGTAAATTCTAAATGGCTCAACAGCATAATTTCTCTAATTAATGTCATAATGCTGTCACATAAATTGTCAAAAGCTTATAAAAAAAAATTCCAATAGATTTAAATAGATATTTACATGGAAGTTTTATATTTAAGTGTATTTCTCGTTACTTAATCCATCACGACTACAACTTCTCTATTTACAATAACAGTCATAGATTCAGCATAATGTGGGTGACTGTCCTGTTTCACTTCCACATTTTCGATTATCATAAGATTGGAAAACTGATCTGGCAATCGTACAGTGCAAGCATTTTCTTAATTGGAATGGTTTAGCACTCTTCTCATTTGCATTCATTTGGAGAGTCACTATCAGTTGTTACTTAGAAAATATCCAGTTGAATGAGTCGATTATCAATGAAATTGTTATAAATTTCCATAAGTAGTATCGGGTCAAGGATCATTCGTAGTTTTACCATATTCTTTCAAATATTATGTTCTTGTATGTCTCAGTCATAGTTGACATTAAATTAACCAATATAAATAAAATCTTCGGAATAATTTCTTTAAAATTGAAAGTTAGGGGCGAACAAACAAAATAAATGACTGAATCACATTATTTGCCATAGGATAAATTTCATGCCGAAAATAATTTTTATAAAAAGTATCTGTTATAAAATTAATAATGACATGTAGAAGAATATGTCAGGTTTTCTCGACTGATAATATCAACAACTTTTGGAAGATCAAAGTTGTAAAACCTTCAGTTCAGTCAATTGTTAAGTTGCTTGAATGTCCATGTTTTCCTTCTTAAGTTCTTTGTTTTTGTTTTCTTTTCTTATTTTTTGTTTTGTTTAGTTTTTTTCTTTTTTTTTGAAAACTGCTTGAAGAGATCAATCATTGAGAATAAAACAATCCTTTGTATTTTCAATAATAAGATCTCATCTCTCATTGATAAGCACAATTTACCTTTTCATTCTTTTCCGAAAACTTTTCCTTATTTTTAATATTATATACTTTAGCTGTACACGTCTGCAAATATGAAAAAAAAAGAGAAAAAAAACAAACTATAAGCTGTCCCTCTCATGAGAATTAGAAAGACATTCTTTCGATGTACCACAAAAGAAATAATTTCAGCAGTTTTATTTTCTTATTTTTTGAAATATTTCGAGAGATAGAAAACAATAATTAGAGAATTTAGTTTGAAAATACGTTTTTCAGATGGGAAAGAACAATTTCATCTCATTTGAAGGCAAAAAATTAAAGCCTAACATAATGTACAGCAGATTTAATTAAATAAATCTTCACAAATAAAAATGTAGTGATACATTTAAAGAAAAGAAGAGGGAGAAATAAATTT